CTTGTGTGCCCCCCCCCCCCCCCCTTCACCCTCCGGATTTGCTATTTTGTTTGTGTTTGTGTATAAAAAAGTGTCGATAAACAGAATATCATCAACAAATGCAAGACTGACCTGTATGTACTTTCTTTGGCTGTGGAATACTCTGATCAAAAGGTTCCTTTCTTTCTTTGTTACTTAAATAACACTACAGGTTGCACCTCTATAAACCAGAACTCTCTGGTCCGGCAACATCCGTAGTCCAGAAGGATGATGGATGTTCCAGGATCAGAGAATCCCAGCACGCTGGGGGAGGAGGGAGAGGAACTGGTTTTTATGCAAGTCTAACTGGACTGCGGGGAGGGGAAGGGCGGGACAGAACAGGGAGGGCCAGAAGCAGGGAAACCAGAAATGATCTCCCCTGGTCCAGACAAATCCTTTATCCGGGATCAATTAGGGCGCAGGGCCAGGGAGGTCCAACCTGTATTAAAACTTCACCCACGCTAGAAATGACATATTATCTTGAAGTTTGTCAGGGTGGTTACACAATGGCACAAAGTGCTTGGGGAGGTGGTGGACTCCCTGTCACGGGAAGCTTTCCTGAAGCGGTTAGACAGTCACCTTCCAGGCCTAGACAATCCCCTGTCAGGCAATTAGGGCGCAGGGCCAGGGAGGTCCAACCTGTATTAAAACTTCACCCACGCTAGAAATGACATATTATCTTGAAGTTTGTCAGGGTGGTTACACAATGGCACAAAGTGCTTGGGGAGGTGGTGGACTCCCTGTCACGGGAAGCTTTCCTGAAGCGGTTAGACAGTCACCTTCCAGGCCTAGACAATCCCCTGTCAGGCATGGGCTAGTTATTACGTAGTCCTGCCTTGAGTGCAGGGGGACTGGACTAGGTGACCTGTTGAGGTCCCTTCCAGTCCTACCCGTCTGTGCTGTGAGCGTCCCAGTGAGATCTGTTCTGCCATAAGAGAAGTGGGAGCCATTAAAATGCAAATTGCTCAGCCGACGAGCTTTGGGAAACCAAGCCTGCTACACAAGCCCCTCTCTCTGAGGAGAGGGACTGCGTGAGAGGAAACTTTGGATGGCAGCGTGCCTCTCACGAGCAGGAAAAGTCATAGAAGAAACAGGCCCGCTCCCGAGCATGTAACCTGAGTGCTCCGTGTGAGTGAGAGACGGGTGTACACGAGTTATGTACCCAAAGGAGCTCGATACAACCAGTTGGATTGACACAGGCTCCCCAGCTAAACCAGTCTTTCTTGCTCTGCTGGCCCATGCTAAAAGCAGAATATTTCAGGACTAGCACAAACACCTGCCCTGATCCTATTTCCACTTGATCAGATCTGCCCCCGAGCTCCCTCCCCAAGCAAAATTAAAAAGAGTTCTCTCTCCCTGTTGGGTAAACAACCGGTTCGCTGCTCTGGCTACATTTATCATTACAGACAGGAGGGTGGAGTAGGGGAAGACAGGTCATGGCTCTGGCAGCATCTGAGACTCCTTGTTAGCAGCATCCAGGCCTGCACTCCACACTGGCTGGGCTGGCGGTGGGTTCACAGGGCTGGAGACTCCATGTGGCCCTTCCCCCTTCTTTAGCTCACTCACCTTAGGGGGTGGAGTCATTCAACCCTTACTCATCTGTGTTCTTGTTGACTCGGATGCAGAGCTGGGCCTCTCTCCTGGAAGGCAAAGCCTCTTCTAGTTCAAGCCTACCTGCGGTGACCAAACATTTCCAGAGCGGAGTGTGGGTAGAGTCAGTTCCCAGCAGGCAACTGGCAATATTGTAATAATCCACCCTGATAACCTTGTGGGGTCCCCAAGGACCGAATGGGTTTTGGCAACTCAGTTTCCTGTGTCCTCTCCACATGGGCAAGGTACATTGGTGAGGACGGAAAAGGTTATCTCTACCATCATATGGATAAATGCAGGACTTCTGCTCTGGAAACTTTCACCAGGAAGGAAATTCACTGTGAAATGTACTTTCTTTTAAGGTAAAGAAGAGCAGAGTCCCTATTAAAAACACCCAACTGAAACCAAACAGAGTTGAAAAATAGACTGGATTTGTTTTTATTGAGCACCGAAGTAGGAGACCCTACATTTCTAACCACAAAAACATGAGTGAATCATTGGGCCTGATTCTCAGGTTAGGGGAGATCAGAGCAGCTCCCTTGATGGCGTTGCCTGACACCAGCTGAGAATTGAGCAGCATAATGAGCATATAATGTTACATGAAAAGTTCACTGTAGCACCAGCCAGGCTTGGAAATGACACTATGCACACATCAGAGGTGTTATTTAAAAGCTAACATTACCACTTTCCTGTTGAGCTTTGATGATGCGGCTGTAAAACTTTGGCAGCAGTAAAAACTCAGGAAAATTCGTCTTACAATAGATGGTGTCTTCAAAAGCAGCATAGGTTTTAATGTTAGAAATGCAACATGCAGACTTTTCTCGTGTCTAACAATTTAAAGAACTTTAAAAGAAAAAATTAACACCCTAGCACCAGGAGGAAGGCTGCATTTAATCTACAGCCTGTAATAAACAGCAGTCATTTGACAGTATGTTATTTTATCAGTCTTCCTTTTTTTTAATAAAGATTCAATTTGCAATGAGCACATGCCTGTTCCAGAGCTCGAATCCAGCAAAGCCCTTAGCCATGAGTTTAACTAGCATTGCAAAGCAAAATGCCCGCCTCATGTTAAACACGTGCTTGAGTGTTTTGCTCAATGAGGCCGGAGCATAGGGGTTTGAGCCTTTGAGGGCCTTCTAATGCATAATTTTGTCTGAAACCAATGGGAGCTATGGGCTCTGAGCTCTAGAGCTGACTCAAAAATAGTAAAATGTTTGCACATTTTTTCCCCACTTTAATGGAGCGGGAGGAGAGGGTATTCAGGAAGGAATTTCCCTCAGGTCATGTTGTCAGGGACCTTGTTTTTTCCCCCTCCTTCCGTCGCAGTGTGGGGCGAGGAGTCACTTTCTGGCTTAAACTAGCGCAGAGGTGGGGGGATCTTTTTTGGGTTGTGGGCCATTGACCCACAGAAAAATCAGTTGGGGTCCACCCAAGTAAGGAAAAAAACCCTCCCTGACATGGCCCCCAACTCAGAAGCGGAAAACTCACCTCCACTCACAACTTGAGGTGCCAATGTTCTCCTCATGCTCCAGCCCTGCAGGGTGGAACCAAGGCTCATGGTTCCCACCCCAGCCTGGATTAATTTTTCTGGGGGCCTGGGCTAGTAGATTTTTGGGGGGAGACTAGGCTCTGGGGCGGTGCCAAAAATGAGGGGTTCAGTGTGTGGGAGGGGCTGCTGGAGAGTAATTTAGGGAGTGGGATCTGGGTGAGAGATGGGTGCAGGGTCATGGCCAGAAGGTAGGGGGCAGGAGCAGCGGGTGTGGGGATGTAGGGTCCGGGTAGGAGGCTGGGTGCGGGAGGGAGCAGGGGATTGTGGTGTTTACTTGGGGCAGCTCCCACTGGCAGGGGCCCTCCCATTGGCTGCAATTCTCAGCCAATGGGAGCAGCACCTGTAGGCAAGCGGTAGCTTCCCTGCACTGCTGTTTCCACTTAGGGTTAGGTTTAGAAGCAACGCAAGCCAGGGGGCTGGATCTGGATGCTCCCCATCCCTTAACTAGAGTAAAGGGTAGATTTGTTGTAACTTGAAGTCTTTAAATCATGATGTGAGGATGTCAGTAATTCAGCCAGAGGTTAGGGGGTCTATTATAGGAGTTGGCCTGCAATGAGCAGGAGGCCAGACTAGATGATCATGATGGTCTCTTCTGGCTTTTTAACACTGGAATGAAATTTTACAAAACCTGGACATTTTAGTTGGTCAAAAAGAAACTATATAGAATGCAGAGCATTTTTATCTTCTCCTTTACCATATAGGGATTCCAAACTCTAGAGGAAGAATTTGCACAAACGTTAGTCTTTAAGGCCTTGTCTACGCTATGGAGAAGATCAGTGCTGCCGCAGTCGATCTTCTGAGGTTCGAATTAGTAGGTCTAGTGAAGACCCACTAATTCGAATGGAGAGGGCTCTCCTGTCGGCGCCAGTAGTCCTGCTCCTCACAAAGAATAAGGGAAGTCGACAGGAGCATGTGCTCCCGTCAACCTCCTGTTGTGTGGACGACAACAAAACATCATTTAAGATACTTTGACTCCAGCTATGTAATTAACATAGCTGGAGTCAAAATATCTTGAGTCGACTTTCCCCTTTAGTGTAGACCGGGCCTAAGAGAATATCAGACGAGCACCATGGTAGACCATTTTCAAACACATGTTGTTAATTACATAGATCACCTTGCAGACTAAATAAAAAATAGTTGTTCCTTGGGGTAAATTCATCCCTGGTGGAGCTTTCACTGATTTCAATGGTGATGCAACCGAGACAAATTTGGCCCATTTTCATTAGTGAACATATTAAAGTCATGCTATGCATAAACTACCAATCAATTCATTTCCTTATGGGACCCCTGAGTGCTCTTAATATGATGTACATACAATATGAAGGTCACTGAATGTGTTCATCACACATATATTTGAAAAACCAATGGTCTAATGCTAAATGCCAAGGCACCATTTTTAGACCAATGTCACTCCTGAGTTACACCTTTGTAAGCGAATTCAGAATCAGTCTGCTAACGTGTGTGCTATGCTGATACAGCTCTGAAATGAAATTGTGGATCAGGCTGGTTTTCTGTTCCAGTTGTAACGGTGCCACTCATAAACTCTCCAGCTGCTTGCAAAGGAATGGATTTCTCCCACTGGTCACAGCTCTGAGGTCTAGAATGGCTGTTCTTGCACCAGGCAGTTCTTTTATCCACAATGTGGTGATATCAGGAAGATGCTGAAGGGTTGAATCTGAAGATTTGGGGCTGCAGTTCATCTGAACCAGACAATTCTTGGGTGGCATCTTTTTTTCAAAAATAGCTAGATCCACTTAATAGCTAGATCCACTGAGGGGAAATAGAATAAAACAAAATGCACTGTTTATCATTGCTGTGGTGTTTTCACAACACATTCTAGCCCAGCGTGTAACCTCAACAATTGGCCTCAGGTCTAATGAAAAATTAAAGGATTCATGTTTTCTCTGTTTGGATGCATGTGATTCTGAAAGTTAAGAGACCACCAGTTTGGGACAGGTTGTCTGATGCTGCAAATTCTTACATATAAGTCTGATCCAAAAACCTACTGAAGTCACAAAAGGTCTTTTACATTGATTTCAATGGGCTTTGGATCAGGCCCTGTGTGAGTAAGGGCTTGTCTACTCTACAGAGAAAATCGAAGCTGCCACAGTTGATCTTCTGGAGTTCGAATGAGCGAGTCTCGTGAAGACTCGCTAGTTCAAACTGAGAGGGTGCTCCCGTCGGTGCTAGTAACCCTACTCCTGAGAGAAATAAAGGAAATCGATGAGAACGTGTGCTCCTATCGACCTTGCGCCATGTAGATGGTACCAAAATGCGATTTAAGATACGTTGATTCCAGCGACGTAATTAATGTAGCTGGAGTTGCATATCCTAAGTCGACTTTCCTGTTCGTGTAGACCAGGCCTAAGAGTTCACTGTGTGCAAGGCCACTATTGCTTACATTCATCGTTTACATTCCCATGCCTACGTGTTTGCCAGATTGGGTTCCATTGGGGTCTGTTCTAATTAAGCAGTCTCTGTGTTTTCTCCCTCAGGATCAGCCGTGGCTGCCTTAGGGCTGGGTCCCAGATGTACCGTATAAAACATTTGGGCATCTCCTATCCAAAGGCTGGGATCCAATGTATGGACAGGAATGCTAAGATTTGCCTAAATGCTGTTATGAAATGTGTGGGAATCCCAATGTTTTGCTGCCTGGGCCTATTCTTAATGCGCGGGGCAGGGGGAACCCATCAAATGTCAGAGGTTTCTCAGGAAACTGGGCAACATTGACAAATTGAAACAAAATGGAAAGAGCCTGACGAGATGAATTTCCCCTTGAATATTTAGCAGCGATCCCCCTGCAGCACACGCCTGTCGTGGAATGGTAAATATCACTTCCTGGTTTTCAGTGTATGGCCTTCCAATTAAATTCACTTATGTGGATTTGGCATTGTGAGTCTGGGACGCTGGGACCTACATTTGTGGGTTGGAAGTTTCTAAGCTGGTGCTTGACCGTTCACACTGCATCATAAACCTGGCTTCACAATTGCTGGATCCAGGTCTCAGTCACACTAACGTATGCTGCTCTTCTGACTCGAGTCTATGGCTAGAGCTGCATCCACAGAGGCCACAGTCTCTGAACCACCTCTCCAGCAGGGTCCATAGGTCTGAGTCATGCTGACTTGTGTGTGGATGGAAGGGGGAAGGAGTTCAAAGCAGAGTCTGCTACAGTGCAGCATAGACATACCATAGCATGAATGTCCTTGTATTATCTGGGCCGGTATTATCTGTTCATTCCCTCTGAAGCATTTGGCGTTGGCCACTGTTGGAAGACAGGATACTGGGCTAGATGGACTGTTGGTCTGACCCAGTATGACTGTTCTTGTGGTCTCAGCTCCTCTAGGACACCTAAGTGGCACTTATGCCTGATGCTAGGGAGGGGTAATTTCACCTGTAAAGGGCTGTTTCTTTAAATCTCTGTAGATTGGGCATCCATCAGGCATTTTCACCAAATGAAATTGTAACCACCACCAGGCAAATTTGAACCTGGGACCTCTGGAGCTGGATATAGGAGCTTCTACCCGCCGAGCTAAAAGCCAGTTGGCTCCCAGCTTATGCTGTAGAGATCTCTTGTTCTTAACTGTTGCTGTGGTCTAGGTACCACTTGCATTACTCAGTAACCACACTAGAGCTATGTTTACACTCGCGGCTTCTTGCGCAAGTATTATGCAAATGAGGCTAAGTGTGGAATATCGCCGAGCCTCATTTGCATACCTAATGAGCCACCATTTTTTTCAGAAGAGGCTCTTGTGCCGTTCTTCCTGAAAAGTAATAGGTGTAACGGCATTGCGCAAGAGGGTTTTTCTTGCACAAGAAGAGGCAATATAGACACTTCTTCTTGCGCAAGAGCCTCTTCTGAAAAAAATGGTGGCTCAATAGGTATGCAAATGAGGCTCAGCGATATTCCACACAGCCTCATTTGCATATTACTTACGCAAGAAGCTGCGAGTGTAGACATAGCCTACATGTGTGGGTTACAAAATGAATGGGCAGCAGTTTTAAAACAAACCAAAAGAACGGTGTTTCTTCAAACAATGCATGGTCAGCCTATGGAACTCCTTGCCTAAGGATGTTGTGAAGGCCAGGGCTTTAGCAGGGTTCAAAAAAGAGCTAGATAAATTCACGGAGTATAGGTCCATCAATGGCTATTAGCCAGGATGGATAGGAATGGTACCCCAGCCTTTGTTTGTCAGAAGCTGAAAATGGGCGACAGGGGATGGATCAATTGATGGCTACCTGTTTTGTTTATTCCTTCTGGGGCAGCTGGCATTGGCTACTGTTAGAAGACAGGACTCTGGGCTAAATAGACCATTGGTCTGACCCAGTGTGGCCGTCCTTATGTTCAAACTCCCATCCTTTTATTCAGAAGGTACTTACCCGGCTTAACCTAAGTGCTTCTGCTGCTGTTTCACATATCCAACTACATTATTGGAATTACTCCCTGTAAAACAAAATTCTGCAAAATTAGGGTTTGCTGTGTGTCCTTTCAGTAATGAATGCTTCCAAAAATATTCCTAGCTGTATATTTTAAATGGTATGTGTCGTATTTCCCAGTTCTTTAGTGAGGCTCTTGGTAGCAGTGCTAGGTTTAGAGTTGGGGACAAATGTTTCTTTAAGTTACACCACCGAAGTCCCTAAACTCTGCCTTTCATTACTCTAGCACATCCATTAGGTTACACAGGACTACATAAGGGCAGATTCTCACCTGATATGACCATTCCATGACCAAACTAAGATATGGAAAATCAACAAGAAAATAAAAGGTGCAAAAGTACAGTTAAACTTCTCAAGTCGGGCACCCTCAGGACCTGACCGGTGCTGAACCAGAGAATTTGCTGAACCATGGGATGTCAATATTGTCTAGCAGCATTTCCAACACTTCCACTGCTTACTGGGCTCTTAGGAGACATTTAGGGATGAATTAGAGCTAAATAACAGCACAGAACACTGACAGCCAGGACTGTTGGCTGTAGACAAACTCTATGGGACTGCAGGAAATTTGGCCACAACCATGATAAGTGGACATCCGGTGAACTAAAACCATGCCAGACCATGGATGTTTCTGGACCAGAGAATGCCAGGCTAGAGAGGGTCAACCTGTAATGAAGCTTTTTCTAGCTTTTCCCCTTGCAAGAACAAGATGCCTTTCCTGATTAAATCACAAGTTAAAATGAATTTGATGGGATGTTTCCCATTCCAGACGTGTCTTCCATATCATAAACCCACCACACATTGCAACACTCTTGGCAGTGTCAGAGGTATGCAGAGAAGCTGCTGAGGAATGCCTCTCCACTGTGCCGTTTCATGAGCAGCAAAGTCCTCTTAAACAATTTGACCAATGTAAAGCTTGGCAATGCCAAAGACCCCCCCCCCCCCCCACAAATGGCACCTTACCAAAATACTCCTTGTAATATTTATTCCTAAGGTTCCGTCCATCTGCAAAACAATAAGATACATTATGAACAGGTTTGGCAGAATTCGATTTTTTTAAAAATAATTCCAACAGATTTTTAAGCATTTTTTCTATTTGTATTGATTTTAAATTTTCATCCTCCTAAATACTCTGACCATTAAAAGGAGTCATAATGTAGGGAACCACAGTCTTTCTTAAACAGAAAGCCTTTGTTAAATAAAACATTGCTGGAATTTGAGACAATCTAACAGGCTCCACACTGTTCAAGTTCCTGCTTCATCACCTTTGTTTACCAGGGACCACATTGTCTGAAACTTTTATGGCTCAAAGAAACATCTTGTGCATGAGCAATGTAAATGTGGGGATATAGCATTACATTAGTGACCAGAGGACATTAAAAACATGAAAAAAGCAAAGGAAGTTGAAAATTCTGAAGTCTTTGAGTCTTTATTATAACTTCCCCTTCCAAGGGACTCTGGTTTGATACTTCTACTGGTTTTTATTGTGATTAAGTAGGAAAAGGGGCTGCTAATGGTTTTGGCCTGTGATAGGTTGCATCACAGAGTATATATTCCATAAATTTTTCACAGTAACTGCACACCATGGCAGAGGTTGAAGATTCCTCAGCATGTGTGAGCTCTTATTGGCAAATACTCCCGTGAGAAGCAAAGAATGATCTTTTTTACTCTTTTTGACTCTATTCATGATTGAATAGAAATCATGGTCAGATGACAGAAAACAATTGCAGCCTTGCTTTTCTACTGAGAACTTTGCTATTTGATATTTAAATGGAATGAGCAAAGGTTTACCATCGCCTGTTGACAGGGATCCGTGCTTTCTTGTCCCAGCCAAAAGGCAAATGCACAGACAGGGATACAATAAATTTACAAGGCTTGTTCTGCAGCTTGTAAATTGGCCTAGCTCTGTTCAATCAGGTGTTAAAGAACCCAGTGGAGTTACAATGAGGAATTGGCTTACAGATGCCATGCACTGCACACGTGAAAGCAAAAAGAGAGAGAAGTGAATTGCTGCTAGGAGTTTTTTAGGGGCTGATCCTGAGCAGTGCTGAACACTCATCTCCCTTTGGCTTCTATGGGGATGGAGGTCATTCAGCATCTTCCTAAAAGCTCTGGAAGACCATAACACAAGCTGTTGGTATTGACCGTTCTCTTTGCATCTTTCAAAGGCAGCAGCTTAGTTTTCGCTTGTCTGTACACAGTTTTTAAGTGTTCAGTGGGTTCCCCAATTCACTGGTTTCCTATCCTGCATCTGCGAGATTCGTACTAGTGTGATCCGCAGAACACACAATAATGACTACCCACGAAAACATGCTGCAGATTCTGCCCTGCCCCCCAAGTTACATAGTGGCAGTCCACTGTTCTCTCGGGGGGGGGGGACAAGTATATGACTGGGACCAGATGTTAGCCCTCCCAGCCATGTTAATACAGAGTGGTCCTTGCTCTCTCAACTCCCCGTCTCTTGCTGAACTTAGTTGGTCCCCGGGTATTTTCTTTTCAAGCCAAGCCACATGCCAGGGAAACTTTGGTTTCGAAGCCGGCACGCGCCTGAGAGAGCGGGGAATGGAGACGCTGCAGGAGCGGGGCAGGAGATGATGTGCTGCCACACGGCCGGAGCATTTCCTGTGGCATGTGGAAGCGTGAGGGAACCAGGCTGGAGAGACCGGGTGCGTTGCTGGAGGAACCCAGGATTAAAAGAGGGAGGCGGTAGGACTGCCAGCCCTACAGGATTGGCCTGGAGCAGCGGTGATGCGTGGAGGGCACAAGGGGCGCTGCAGGAGCGGGGCAGGAGATGATGTGCTGCCACACGGCCGGAGCATTTCCTGTGGCATGTGGAAGCGTGAGGGAACCAGGCTGGAGAGACCGGGTGCGTTGCTGGAGGAACCCAGGATTAAAAGAGGGAGGCGGTAGGACTGCCAGCCCTACAGGATTGGCCTGGAGCAGCGGTGATGCGTGGAGGGCACAAGGGGCCACAGCAGTGCCAGGTAGCCCTGCCGCTTGGCTCTCCCAGCTGTGGGGGGACGACCCCGTGCTCCCCCAGTGGGAAGTGGAGTGACGTGGCAGCTGGGGAGCAAGGCAGCTGGAGCCACCTTGCTCTGCTTCCCCTGCTGCTGCTGCTGAGTGCAGAGAGGGGGTGGACCCCTGCTGCCAGCCCTGGGCCCCTAGGCTCCCTAATTCCCCAGGCCACCTCGGTTGGGAGAAGAGGTGGGGTGGAACAAGAGCAGGGGCAGGGAGGGATGTATGGGGCCTGGTGAAAGAGGGTTATTCTGACCCTTTCTCAGGCTGGAGGGTGTCACGAGGCTGGTAGCCTCCCAGGTTCCCTGTGACCCCTGTCCTGGAGTGTCCAGGAACGAGAGATTAACCTTTAATTAAAGATCATGGCGTGGTTAAATCTCTAGGACTACGTCCGACCCAAATTGGCAACTCCAGGAGGAGGTGGAAACCACGAACGCTACTTAGCCTGGCCTGATATTCTGAGGCCTAATCTGCCGCAGGGCAGGTGAGAGGCCCCTTGGCATAGTTCCTAGGCTGGACAGAGGACGCGGGGCCGCGCGATTTCGAATGAACTGACCAGGATTTCCACGTAGCTTGATGCACTGACCCCTGTTGGGGATCCCTTCGGCCGTGTTCCCAGGGCTGATGATGTGGCATTCGTACCCCGTGGGGCAATGCAGAGGTTCGTCCCCGTCCTCAGTGGTGCTGCAGGCCTCGGCTGCAAAACACGCCTGCGGGTCACACGTCTGGGTCTTATCGCCCAGGGCTAAGCAGAGAAGGAAAACCCTGCTCTTGATAGCCCCTCCCAGGCAAAGACCTCAAAGTGCTTCCCAAACAATAACACTGAACGTTTAACACTTACAGGGAACTGGACACGGCATGTCCGCCTACTCCACTCAAAGCAGAGCTGTCCCATCCATAGAACAGTTTGGGGCGGCCGTCCCAGGCCCTGCACGCTGGCTACCCCAACTGTCCTGCGGACAAGATGGCCTCCCATTCTGAGGTTAACTTGTGAGGCCTGGGAGTTTACCTCTGGGGGCCAGGGGCTGGCGGGAGCGGCGGTGAAGTGGAGTGACTCAGAAGCCTGCTCCGCTCTGATGCCATCTCCCAGCCAGGTGGCTCTGCTTTACCTCAGCGCCTGCTGCCCCTGTGCCAGGTTCACTGGTAATCCCCCGACTCGTGTTGCTTGGGGGAGGTGGCTTTGGGGGAGGGAGCTTTGAAGAAGGAATGCAAAGGGGGCAGGAGAGGGCAGGGCAAGGGTGGGAAGAGGCAGGGTGAGGCCTGGCACAGGGTGAAGGGTTTGCTCCAGCCCCCATACCTCACCTAGGAATGGCTCTGATTAAAAGACAGGCAATGCCCTGTTGAACCCGCCTAGCTGGCTGCCTTACCATTCTTCCTTCAGCCCATTGGACAGGGTGTGTGCTGGGGCTGGAGACTGGAGGAAAAGAAGGAGGCTGACCACACTCTGGATAGCAGGTGGCCTCTGCAGGATTGTTACCAGCTGGCACAATTTAAAGCTGCCATCAATCCAGGGTTGGGTTGAGAGACCCAGAGAAGTACAACCTGGTAGTTCCCCCTTGGGATCAAACTATTCAACATGCCCTACATCAGCTAACTAATTCATTAATGCTCACACATGACTTCTGTGAAAGTAACACAGGAAACGGAAGCATAGAGATGTTAAGTGACATTGCAAAGGCTATACAGCAAGTGAGTGTCAGAGTTGGGGACAGAAGCTGGGACTCCTACCGCCTGTTTCTGTATTTGGCTATGGATGGGAATATTTTCCTAACACTTGTACAATTGTAGTGAAGACAGTGTAAGTTTCTCAGTAGGCATTTTCAGACTGGATCAGACTCGTCATCTATATACTCTATCTCTGATAATGACCAACCCTAGGGGTGTGTCTAAACTACATGGCTCCATTGATGGAGCCATGTAGATTAGGCTGAGGGGCAGAGGGAAATGAAGCTGCAATTTAAATAATCACGGCTTCATTTAAATTTAAATGGCTGCTGCGCTCTGCCGACCAGCTGATGATCAGCTGTTTGTCGGCAGATCAGGGCAGTCTGGACGCGCCACGGTCGACAAGGAAGCCTTTGTCGACCAGCTCAGGTAAATCTGGTTTCATGAGGCATACCTGCACCAGTCAACAAAGGCTTCCTTGTCAACCGCTGCGCGTCCAGACTGCCCCGATCTGCCGACAAACAGCTGATCATCATCTGGTCGGCAGAGCGCAGCAGCCATTTAAATTTAAATGAAGCCGTGATTATTTAAATTGCAGCTTCATTTCCCTCTGCCCTGACTTCATCTCCCTCTGCCCATCAGCCTAATCTACATGGCTCCATCGATGGAGCCATGTAGTTTAGACGCACCCTAGGGCTACGTCTAGACTGGCATGATTTTCCGCAAATGCTTATAATGGAAACATTTTTCCGTTAAAAGCATTTGCGGAACAGATCATCTAGATTGGCACGGACGCTTTTCCGCAAAAGCACTTTTTGTGGAAAAGCGTCCGTGCCAATCTAGACGCGGTTTTGCGCAAGAAAGCTCCAATCGCCATTTTCACCATCGGGGCTTTTTTGCGCAAAACAATACAGCATTGTCTACACTGGCCCTCTTGCGCAAAAGCATTTGTGCAAGAGGTCTTTTGCCCAAACGGGAGCAGCATAGCATTTCCGCAAGAACACTGACAATCTTACATGAGCTCATCAGTGTTCTTGCAGAAATTCAAGCGGCCAGTGTAGACAGCTGGCAAGTTTTTCCGCAAAAGCAGGTGCTTTTGCGGAAAAACTTGCCAGTCTAGACGTAGCCTAGATGTTTCAGAGCAAGGTGGAAGGATCCCTGATAGGCACATGGGGGATAATTTGCCTCTTTTCTTAGATCTCATCCTGGTCCCTAACAGTGACGGATCTAAGTCTTGAAGTAAGGCTGTTCAAGCACTTTAGAGCCAGTGAGTAAATAATTAAGCCTGCCAGGCTGATTGCTTTATGTTCACTTTATACATCTGAGAACTGAGGCAATAAGGCCTGTTTTTCAGACCGCAGGCCTGTGCTTACTTGGGAGCCTTCTTTCTGTATGCTCAGCTATGCAAGCATGGGAAACACACATGGCCCAGCATGAGCAAAATCTGCATGTCTGAAAATCAGAGCCCAAGAGGCTGGTTTACAGCCACCAAGGTCATCAGTGTCAGGGCTGGGATGCCATTTCTTGAGTGCCCACTGTCTAAGACTGCTCTGCTCACACATCTCTCTATGGAGGTGGGACTGGGTGGCTCAGAGCATTGGTAATGCGATGTGATTTCATGTTTGTTTAAGAGATGACATGACCACTGTCTACAAGCACCTATGCAGGGTGAAGATTTTTAATAAAGGGGTGTTTAAGTTAGAAGACTAAACCTAACAAAATTGAGTAGTTGGAAACTGATACTATAGAAATGCTGGCTAAAAACGAGATAAAAATAATGGCAGCTAGCTCTTACATTGAGCTTTTTATCAGTAGATCTCAAAAGCCTTTACAAAGGAAGGCCGTATTATTATCCCCATTTTAGAGATGGGTAAACTGAGGGGACGTGACTTGCTCCAGGGCATGATGCAGGACTTTTCTGTGTGAAATCACCTGGCCTGGGTTATACAGGAGATGTGGCTAGATGATCACACTAATCCCTTCTGGCCTTGAAATCTATTAATCTAAAACTCATTTAAATGAAGTGCATCTCAACCATCTGTAGGAAAACAGTGCAATGAAGTGTGTCAGTCCAATATATATGTTAAACAGTGTTGGAGAAATGAATTATATAGTGTGTCAGACCTAGACTAGCTGGCTGCCGCACACTGATGGAGGGAAGACACACTGGGACTTGGGTGAACCGCTTTCTTTTCTCTGAGTAAGGTGACTTCTTGAGGTCTCTTCTAGCCCTATGAGTCTATGAAAGTCCCAAATCTAACTGCAGTATAATCAGGCAGGCACCTGGGATCTATTCCAGCTTGCTAGAAGCTACAGGCTGATTAGACACCTGCAGCCAGTTAAGGCCTGTGGTGCTGCTTTAAAAGGGCTCCCCCAGGCTACAAAGGGGGATGGAAAGGAGTGAGGGATAGGAAGTGTTGTGTGGGTGTGATGAGCAGGTACTAAAGGAAAAATGCTGGGGGGGATGATTTGGGAAAATGGCCCAGGGAAAAGCTACCAGATTGGGAGTGGTAGTAACCCTGCCTGTTGCTGGTATCTCAGGGTCCCTGGGCTGGAACCTGGTGTAGTGGATGAGCCTGGGTTACTGCCAGACCTCCTCATGACATCTCAACCTCTGCCTTGAGAAGGGAGATTGGGATGCCAGAGGGGATTTTACCCCAAACTTATGAATTAGCCTGTGATGAGTATGGTGGGCTCCTGCCTCTAGTAAAGAGAGAGAGACTGTGGAGGGCCTTAGTGAACCTCTGAGGCTAACACAATCCGCCAGTAGCATGAGACTCACGGGGAATGGCTGGAGCTTTGCCACAATAGAGAGCAGAAAAATACAAAGGCACTTTTGCTTTTTGGCTTGTTCCGGCTGATGCAACACTTAAGAGCGTTGGGGTTGTATAAACTATGAAACCTAGTTTGTGTGTCTTGCTTTGTAAAACTTAATCTGTGTAAATATCAGGGTGAAACAGAATGTCACGAGGGAGATTGCCACGAGGGAATTGTGAACTTGAGGTGCCTTGCAAGACAAGCTAACAAGCAAAAAGCCAAGGTCACAAAAAACACCAGTCAGATAAAAATCCACCATATCCATATAGAATAGGAGAATTAACAGCAGAAAATACAAAGGAGGTTAGTATAGAAGCAGACCAAAGAAAAGTTTTAGCAGGATAAGCATAAATGCATCCGTTTAGGTTAATGACTTGTGCATAAAAATGTTTAGTCTGGTTTAGAATGGGAGGGTACACAGATGAGGTAACTGAGGCTGTGCAAAGTCATGGAACAGGGTACAAAAAACAGTAGAAGACACGGGAAGAATGTAGCACAGGCCAAAGATTTGGAGAAAAAAAATGTCACCCTTTCCCTTCTTGTTCATGGCATATTTGATCTTTTTGCATGTGTATGTCAGTGATAGGTAGTAATAACACTGTCTTAAAATGTACAAAATAAAGATTACACAAAATGATTTAAGCCCAAATTGGAATGGCTCTCGTCTGTCACTGAATACTTCACATAAACTAATCTTGCCATGGATTCTTGAAAGTCAGATATATGTAGTTGGGGTTATGTATTGGGAAGAAAATTCTTTTACCTATTCATCTATGGAAACAACCACTCATGTAGAAAGATATGCACTATTGAACTGTCAGGGTATACTATCACGTCATGCCCATCCCTGAGGGCAAAACCTTCTGCAAGTTGCATTGCTCATCCTCTTAACATCACTTCCCCTGACTAATCAAATTTGCATATGCTAATGAGGACTGGTTATGCATCTGCATGGCAGATGGAAGAGATTTTTTGCCTCTACTAAGCAGGTTTTCAGCAGAGCTGTATTTAAAACAAACCTTTTGCTTTAGATTTGAAATACTGTTCACAAGCCATGGAGTCACCTTTCCACATAGGTGCAGCCGCAAATCTGTTAATATGTGACCTTTTGCACTTTACATTGGCATCTCATTTAATGGATGATTTGTTTGCCGGAAGTGTTCTTTCCTGGCTAATGCTGATTCTGCAAGGAGCTGGAGGCTCTGAACTGAAACCACAAGACTCACTACTCTCCCTTGAATAAGGGCTGATATACTGGCACCGAACTGCATCTGACTTGCATCTTATTTTCCCAATCAGTGTCCTTCATCTAGGAGAATTCAACAACCCACGCAATACCCAGGTGATTAACATGCCGAGTCACGTTCACAGTACCTTGTAAAACTTCCTCTGGTCCATCTAACAACCATCCGTTTCCTCCAAGCCAGCGAGGTTTCGGCTGCACCAACCAGTCCAAAACTATTAAGAAACCCATATTGTTAAGGAAGAGTGGTCACAGGGCGCAGAGTTATTTTCATGCCACTGATTTTCTTCAGTCCTTGATAAAGCGCAGGGTGGGGGAGGTGTTCTCGAAGGATGGTTTTGCTGGGTGTGGTTCTGTGATGTATTTACATTCACAGTCATTCACCAGTCCTTGATAAAGCGTGGGGTGGGGGAGATGTTCTCGACGGATGGTTCTGCTGGGTGTGGTTCCGTGATGTATTTACATTCACAGTCATTCAGAATGTCCCAGACACAACCTAATCACAGCAAGGACCCCGGCAACGTGGGGACACAAAGGGCCTAAGCCTGCATAATGCTGAGAAACCTTTGAGAGACATCCTAAATCCACTGGAGTTAACAGAAATGGGGACACAAAGGGCCTAAGCCTGCAAAATGCTGAGAAACCTTTGAGACTCATCCTAAATCCACTGGAGTTAACAGAAGGGCTCTCATTAACTTCCATTGACTTGGGACTGAGACATGTCTTTGCACCTTGTAAACTCAGGTCCAGGCTGGACAGAGCTTCACTGAGTGCTGCTAAATGTCACAGTAAATGCCCGCTGCAGCATGCTCAGAAGCTTTCTCCTTGCTCCTTAGACAACCCAAGAGAAGCCATAGCTCAATGAGAACAGTGTCCGTGATAAGTTTCAAGCTATTTTTACTATATCTTGTACAAGCTGCATGGCAGACAGGCTGGGTCCACACCTGACACTGCAGCGTGTAGCTAACCATGGCCGTGAATGTCTCCGGCAGCTGGGATAAAACTTGGGAGAAAACTTGTTCATCTTGGCCTCTGAGGATAGAACAAGAAGCAATGGGCTTAAACTGCAGCAGGGGAGGTTTAGGTTGGACATTAGGAAAAACTTCCTAACTGCCAGGGTAGTCAAACACTGGAATAAATTGCCCAGGGAGGTTGTAGAATCTCCATCTCTGGAGATATTTAAGAGTAGTTAGATGAATGTCTATCAGGGATGGTCTAGAGTGGACGGTATTTGATCCTGCCATGAGGGCAGGGGACTGGACTTGATGGCCCCTTCCAGTCCTAGTATTCTATGATTCTATGCAGTGGGGAAAGGTTCTGTCAGCAAAGAGGAGACTTTCCCCACTGCCATGACCTTTCCCCTCTTCCTCCCCTTGCCAGAGCCTTTCACTGAGGTGGGGAAAGGTTCCAGCAGTGAGACACTACAGTGCTAAAAATAGCAAAGTAGGGTACATATCCTAGGGGTTCAGGCATGTAGGACACTTGCTCCTCTCTACCTGCCTAAACAGTGCCTCACTTTCTACACTACTATTTACACCTGTCTTAGCTGGGCATGCAACATCTGTACTCTCTACACTACCGCAAGTGTAGACCTACTTAAAAATATGGTGTTAGAATTATTGCACAGTTGGAAGAGAATTTTTTTGGAATTCCTCCTGAACTTGGGAACAGAAGAAAGGCTTTTGCTCAAACATTTCAGATAAATTCATCTATAGGCAGAGATTCAATCCATTGCATGATGAAAAGTATCCCCTCTAAGCCCTGGTCTACATTAGGGCTTTATTCCGAAATAACCCCCTTTAGGTTGAATTAATAAACAGATCATCCACATTACCAAGTTTGTTATTTTGAAATAATGGTCTGCTTATTTTAAAATCTGTATTTTTGCTTTCCTCAGGGAATAACGCTAATTTCAAAATAATTATTTCTAAATAGCGGTAGTGTGGATGGTCTGGTGGCGGTATTTCAAAATAACTACTCCTCAGAGTAATTCAGACTAATTACTCCCCAGTGCTTCCTGGGGTTCTAAGGTAATGTAGGACATCCTCATTAATGGAGCCTGCCTCATAAATTTTGAGACTTTCCCGTAGTGAGGACACACTATTTCGATTTTATTATTTCAGGAGTTATTACATCGATTTTTAGTTATTTTGAAAGTTTCCTAGTGTAGACAATCCCTAAGAAAAATAACTGTCCAGAAGCAAGTTTTTAACAGTCATCAAAATCTATGACTTGGGGAAATAGCGAGTTAAAGCATCTTGGGCTTTCCTATAAAAAGGTTATCTGCAGAAGTGGTCCAAAATGCAGACACCATTTTTGTCATAATTTTGAGTTTTTGAAAAAGTTCAAAACCAATTTAAAACCATCAAAAATGTTCTCAGATGTTTTTAAAGCTTTCCAAAAGTTTTCACTGCAATTTGGAACATTTGAGATTTGTCCATTTTCTCTAGTTACCAGCCAGGTGGCCAGGAACTGGGCTAATGTAAAATACAGTGAAAATAACTGTTTTCCAGGGATTTCTGCCATTCAAGTTGGTGGAAATCTTGCCAGACCAACTAATCATGTGCAATTTTCTCTCTCTTGAGCCAAAAATCACCCTGGAGAAGCTTTCAACTATTCACTGCCATGAAACCAAAGCTCAATTCTCAATTCACACTAAATCCCCAAGTCCTAATTTAGACCAAATAAGAAGAGGCTCTACCACAATTGTACAGCCTACCATTGAAGCTGTTTCTATTTGTATTTGGGCAACATCTTGGAAATTTTGTTCTGAGGCAGTTTGATCTCACCACCCACCATACCTGGAGGTGGCTGTACTGACTCCAAGCAGGCATAGATACACCCATTGTAACAACAACGCTTGTGTCTTTCACATTCGGAATCTGAGCGGCAGCTGGACACCTCACATGCTCGTTCTGGTAAAGTCTGCGGGGGCGGAGGGCAGCGGTCATTCTTCTGGTAGTGGGCACTGTGAGAATGAAGAGGGTACTCATAATCCTTGCAAAACAAAAGAAAAAAAGGGGAAAAAAACACAGGGATTTGTCATAAGGGAGAACATGTAGCCAAAACCAACCTACTGCCAGCTGACATAACTGGAGTGAGCATTAAGAAGCGATCGACTTCACGTATGCATCAAAGAAGTGACCCCCACCATACGGTGCCTCAGTTTCCCCACCTGCAAAATTAAGACACTACTCTATCGCTACCTAAGCAACGTGTTTGGAGATCACCTGATGAAATGCGCTAAGGACCAAGTATTACTGTTTATTACATTTGTTTCAGGATGTGGAAGTATTTGTGAGCCTAAATTCTAAATCCCATCCACTACGCCATGGCTACTCAATGATACTCTCAGCACATGCCGAGAGCCACAACTTAAGTGTGGTTGCATATGCATGCAAATAAATATGCAAATAAATAGCTTCTTTCACACTGATGGGTATGAATACAAACATTAAGGCAAGACTACACAACACACAGGCCCCATTTAAGTTAGTTCTGCCGGTATTAATAAAATACAATATTTACCCAATTTCCACCCATATGACAGCACTTTAAGTCAGCAATGACCGTCCAGGAATTTAACTACTAAAATACATATCAACAGAAGACCATTATATTGACTATTTTTTTGTTTTGGCTTCAGTAACAGATGCCTTAAAAATACCCTAGCGAGAAAGAGAGAGAAGTTGTGAAATGAAGATGATGAAACATAGGCTTTATTGTTCCTGTGTTTGATAAGCGTTTTGTATTGCAGATGATTCACTACATCAGCCTCTTACTAATTTAAGACCTTCCAGTGAAGTGAGGTTAGCAATTGAATGTCTTGAAACGATGATCTTTCTCTCATGCATTTGCTGCCTAATCCATTTGTTCCCTTTCTGACCAATATTTTGTGTCTCTCCTTAGGCATGTAATAGTGTAGTCCAGAGTTTCCCAGACGGTGTTCTGCAGAACCCTGTGGTTCCGCAAAGTGAAAATAAGGGTTCCACAAGAAAATTCCATTACAATAACATTTTATGATTAAAAATAATGAATATTTAAGCATTTATTAATTTTATGGAAAACAATTTCCACGATAAGTGCCCCTGTGTAAAGCCAGCTTAGTCAGAGAGTTGGGATGATGATGTCACTACTCAGCACTGTTGTCCATACATTAGATTGTTGTTAGGGGTTCTGCAAAATTATTTTGAGTTTAAAAGGGTTCCGTGGCCACATAAAATTGGGAAACACTGGTATAGTTGATTAACTGATCTGCAAAAGCTTATCACTTAATGCTATTGACTACATGCATTTCTCACCCTTCCTTGCCAGTACATTTTTTAGCAGGCTGCCAGCTGCCTGGCTCAGTCCCAGTCCCAGCTCTGGGTCCGGGACCTACCCCTGCTGCTTGCTCTGGGTCCGGGACCTACCCCTGCTGCAGTTCTGCATTTAAAGTGTATTAGGAGCCAGGCGGGCAGGCAGCCTGGCTCAGTTCTGGCTCGTGCCAGGTCCACACGCTCAGAGACCCCCTGGACAGGGACTGCTGCCACCCTGTGCTGCTATCTCTGTGTCAGAGGCAGCAGTGTGGGGTGGCAGGCATCCAGTCCGTGAAGGGTGCTGGTTTTTAAACTGGCTCCTTTCCTACCTGTCACCCCAAGCTACTGCCTCTGATACAGTGCGGAATGGGGCCAGAGTGCACTGGGTGCCGGCCCCACACTAGGGACTATAGAATAGTTGAGTAACCATTAAGGATTCACAAGGTTAATCGACTATTCAATTAATCGATATTTAACATCCCCACCTCGCCCGCAGTATCAGAATTCTCAAGGTTCTCCTTTTCCTTTTCTCCAACCTTTTAAATGAAAGTTCACATCCAGGGGCTATAGGGAATTTTGGCCATGTTATAAAACACACTAGCAGATTACCCGGCGTTGCCTGGGTCCTTAGGCAGGGGGCTGGCGATGCGGGGGTGCAGGACTTAGGGCAGATTAACATCCCCACCTCGCCCGCAGTATCAGAATTCTCAAGGTTCTCCTTTTCCTTTTCTCCAACCTTTTAAATGAAAGTTCACATCCAGGGGCTATAGGGAATTTTGGCCATGTTATAAAACACACTAGCAGATTACCCGGCGTTGCCTGGGTCCTTAGGCAGGGGGCTGGCGATGCGGGGGTGCAGGACTTAGGGCAGAGCTGACTGGGGGGCTCAGGGCAGGTGGTCCCATCTATCACAGGCCTTTTCTCCTCCCAACCCCGCCTGGCTGTCAGGGGTCTTTTTTGTCTCCCCTCCAGCACCGTGGCCAAGGCCCAGTGAGAAGGGAAAGGGTTTGGGGCAGAGGGCTACTTACCTGTGGGCTGGCAGCTAATATGGCAGAGCCCCCGCCCGGCTGGCCTCTCCCTTGGTGGTATGGCTATCCCCCTGATAGCTTTTCCCTGTGGGCTCACTGCCCCCAGTGGCCACTCTTGTATCACGTCCCTCAGAACAGCAGCCCCTCCCTTTGCATGTTATGGAACACAGCCCTTTTCCTGGGGCTTCCGGTTGTCCTGGTACAACCAAACCCTGACCCTCCTTTGATGATCAGAGGAAGCTGCCTACCCGATCTGGCGGCCCTAGTTCTTACCATTTAGGAGCAGTTCTTGAACAAACAGATTCACAGACAATCATGCAGATAGATGCACTCTAACATATATATATAGATGATGATCTGGGTAGCTTACAGAATGGTTGGAGGGAAACGGGATTTTCAGCAGGTTTGAAAATCTCTCTGCCCATGGATAAAGAAGTTTAAATATTGTCTTTTACTTTTGAAAGCCCCTGGCAAGATTCATGGTTCCATAGTTTAGACTTATCCAATATACAGAACTTTAAGGGGTTTCTTTTTCAGGCTATGTCTACACTACAGGGTGTTTGTGCAAAAACTCATGGGCTACGTCTACACTGGCATGATTTTCTGAAAATGCTTTTAACGGAAAAGTTTTCCATTAAAAGCATTTTCAGAAAAATCACGTCTAGATTGGCAGGATGCTTTTCCGCAAAAGCCAATCTAGACGCGGTTTTCCACAAAAAAGCCCCGATCGCCATTTTTGCAATCGGGGCTTTTTTGCGGAAAACAGTACTATGCTGTCTACACTGGTCCTTTTGCACAGAAGTCTTTCGGAAAAAGACTTTTGCCCGAACGGGAGCAGCATAGTATTTCCGGAAAAGCACTGATGATTTTACATGAGATCGTCAGTGCTTTTCCGGAAATTCAAGAGGCCGGTGTAGACAGATGGCAAGTTTTTCCACAAAATCAAATTATTTTGTGGAAAAACTTGCCAGTTTAGACACAGCCATGGAGTGTCCACACCTCAAGTGAATTTTTGTGCAAGAAAATGTATAGTAAAATGGCAGAACATAGGGCTTTTTGCGGTGTAGGTATACCTCCTTCTACGAGGAATAACTCCTTTTTGCGCAAGAGTTCTTGCACAAAAAGGTGTGTGTGAGTGCTCAACAGGGGTTTCTTGAGCAAAAAGAGCCTGTCAAGAAAAACCACATGTGCTCTGATGGCCATCCTGTGAATGGCAATGAGAACTTTCTTGTGCAAGTGTGTCCATGCAGTGTGGACATTCTCTTGCACAAAAGCACATCACTTTTGCGACGAGCTTTTGAGGTGTGGATGCGCTTTTGCACAAGAAGTTTTTGCAGAAGATCTCTTCCATAAAAAGCTTCTTGCACAAGAACTCTGCAGTATAGACAAAGCCTCGGAGTGCAGGAGCTCAGGGCTGTTTTTGAAAGTGTTGGCCACCCTTGGCCTTAAAGATAAATATTTCTGAATTTCCAGATGTGTGTAAAATGCGGAACTTCAGATTCCCTGTCTGATCTCAGTTACTGGTGTAAATCCAGAGTAACTCCTTGTACCAGATGCTGCAGAGTGGGACATATGCCCATTGAATCACATGCCAATCAAACTGTATTGGGATATGGGGGAAATATTCTTTATTCTTAATCACACTCCAACAATGTGGACAATTCCGAAGTGGAGTTAGCAGTGGGTGGCATTTTCCCCAATGAGAATTAGGAGCAGCACACAGGGCAATTTGATTCACACAGGTGGCTGTCGGATGAGAAGTCAACTCCCTGGGTTCCACAGAAATTGGCAAGTCACTCAAGCCCAAATCATACTCCCCATGGGCCAGCCCTCATCCCTGTGCTCATAGGTGTGGGAACTACGGGTGTAGGGGGTGCTGCAGCACACCGGGACTCCTGGCCTCACTTCTGGGTCTCCAGCTGCTGCCCCTCATGCCAGGGGGCTCTGCTGCCAGCCCAGTTCCCAGGATCATGGCTGTTTGCCCTGCATGCTGGGGCTTTGCTCCTTGCCTCTGCTGGGTGGGG